TAGACAACTACAAAAAAAAAAAAAAAAAAAAATACCATTTTCTTCTTGATCAGTACACTGACTGAAAGCGGGCAAGTTTAGATGGAGATCAAGACGAGGAGGAAATTCAAAGGTCTGGTGATGAAGCTTTTAGAGAGGGAATCTCAGTCGTTTTAGTATTTGTCCTCCCATTACAATACAATATTGCAAATTTGCCATCTTCTAAAATAATTTTATTATCACAAATAATTGGCAGGCCAACCTTCCCTTTCTTGCCAAGGAGGGCCCCGGCGGCGATAGGGCAAAGAGAGAGAGGTCCTAGCCTCTTGATATCACTGGAGTCCCTGGTATGGATGCTTCTTACATTCGTTATTCACTGACGGTGAGAATATATCCTGCACACTTCAATACCAAAACCAAGCGACGATTTCACGATGCCAAAATTCCAGACGAAGCATACCCCAGTGCCAACCAGAGAAATGCGCCTAAAACCGAGCACCGTACTTGGGTTATACCAGTGATCCGAGAGAAGTGTTGGTCCGTGTAACTCAGACACAAGTAAACCCTCCTATAATACGACATCCCGAGTTTGACGCCTCGCCGCATCGCTAATAAATTCATTCCTCCCAATGCCCCAAGCACCGAATTGTTAAATTACCAACTCCCGAAGACCCCCCATTAACCCGCCTCCACTGTGCAGAACACGATCCCCCAATCGCCTGCTCCAGAACCTCCAATTCCCACACCGCAGCACAGACTGCGTCTAACTTACCCCACACGGGTCGCATACCCCACGGCATGGTTAAGCCCCCACTCGCTAACCCGACCCGTTCATTCAGCCAGCAAGCAAGCAAGCAAGCGACCCGCGCAGCCGCCACCACCTGATATCATATTTATCGATAAAAGCATTATCTCGGCTGCCTAGCATGGCACAGACTTCCTCCTACTGTATTCCAGTGGGGCATGCTTTCGTGGGGGCAAAACCGCATCCTCGCAAAAAAAATTCCCCTGTCAGCCCCTCTGCGCCTACTGTTTGCGACCCGTAGAAGGAAAGGGAGAGTGATACGGTGCCATGCTTCCCCGCTTCTAGGATTTGGCGGTCATGAGAGAGCACTCGTGATTTCATCACGGACAGGAAGGAGAGAGGGGAGAAGAAAGGAGGTGTCATAGAAGAGACCGGTAGTCCATCATTTTGGCTTTGCATCCACACCCGGAGGCTTGTTGAAGGCCAATCTTCCCAGGTCCAGCCCAGTGCCACCAGCGCGCGACGAATCCCCCTCCCCGGAACCAACGAATACGGTATACCGATAACGCCTTCCGACTCGTCTATATTACGGTACGGTACATACACCGGCACGGGCCCCACCGAACAAAAACCCGCTGCCGCAGCCGAGTCCGGGACAGGAGGGGCATGGGGAATGAAAAAATGTCGGGTATATATGCGCGTCGCATTGGGAGGTTTACGATTGAGAGAAGCTGAAGGGGGAAGAAGAGTGGAGGGGTAACCATGAAACGGCCTATCTTTTTCGCTGAGGGATTAGCCTGGCGGGGTGGACTGGGTTTTACGGTTTGGTGGGCGGGGAGGGGAGGGGGAGGGACAGGGTCCGGGCTAACGGTTGATCGGTTACTGTAGTACCCGACTTGAACTGGTGGTAGTCTGGCGCTGTGTCCATCAGGGATCCCTCGGTGAGAGAGTAGTCTATGTTGCATAGGATGGCGATGAAGATGATCGGAGGGAGAGAGAAAAGTTGTGGGATTACCGGCACCGTAGTATTCGCTCCCCCACGGTTTGGAGCTCAATTTTTCCCAGGCTCGATAATGCCGCATTGCATAAAGTTACCGGTTATGTACTAGCTCTGTACACGTGTCCGGTGAAAGTGCCCAGGGAGACATTTTCATGCAGGACAAAGGCCGTCTTGCAGGTCAAACCAAATTAACTAGGTAACCGTCACTACTGGTAACCCTCCGGTGGGCACAGTACTCGTGCTCGAGTACAGCGCAGCACCGCAAGAGCAAGAGCAGAGCCATCAACAGGATCTCATCCATCAAAAAAAAGGGGGAAAGTCAGAAATCTGGATTTACTTTGGGCCCAACATGTCGTATGGCATGCCATGGCATTACTCGTGATTGAACGACCCCGCGAACACGGCTGCTATCGCACTCCGCCAAAACTTGGCTCTTTTTCTTAGAGCTTGGTGTCATGGAAATGTCATAAATCTATGCAACAGTGGTCGTGTTCACAGACGTCGCTTTGTTGCAAGTACAGTACAATACGGTAGTCTATCTATCGTCCAGTCCACTCATACTGTAGCGGGAAACAAGTATCCGAAAACAGGGATCGGGAATTTTGATAGGCGCTCAAATACCAAGGGGGGGACTGATTTATTGCCATATATTTTGCGAATCCCAGCTTTCGGGTACGGTACGGTACTTGTTGCCCGCTACGAGTACCCGCACGCTCCAGCAGCGTGCGCTTGTGGCGAGCGGATGGTCTTTTCTCCAGCCTTATTATTGCCAACAGGAACGCAAGCTTCGTCCAGACGTGCGAGGCAGGTCCCGGGAATCTTATTATGCCATACAATATCGCAACACGGAGCAGATATACTCGAGTACAATGAATAAAGGAATTCAGACTGGGAAGGTCCTTGCTTGGCTGTGGGGCATTTTTGTCGCTCTCCTTTTCTTCCCCCCCCGCTCTGTTTAGCCATAGATGGGGTGTTGAGCGAGCCCCGCGGTGGTACAAGTACCCTCAAAGAGTTCACAAAGTGGGGAGAAATCCTCACGATCCTACCCATGTCATCTTCTTTTTCCACACCGTGGGGAAAGAGCGGGGAAATATGATGTGAAACCGGTAGTAGCTAAGACATCAGCCTCACGGATGGATGGGCCAAGGGGAGGAATTCGAATGCTTTCTGATGGGGGGGGGGGCTTTACCTAACCCTAAGAGCGTAAGGTACGCTTGGGTTTTTCCGCGGTAGCACAAGCGCTAGTATCATCCGGGCCATGCTCAAGATCATATGATAGTCACAATTGCCAAGCAGGTGAGCACTAATGAAATGCTGCCATCTTGTGTGTGGCGTTTGCGCATCACAGTGCACATGCTTGAGCACTCGAGAAGAGTTTCGGAGGGACAGAAAAGCAGCTACCCTTCGACTTGATGAATGAATAGCCATGCACCATCGTCATGCCATCCCCCCGGTCGCTGGAGAAGGACAGAAGGGGCGGAGTGCCGGTACAAGTAGTTCCTATTATAGGTAGCTTCCTCCCTCGTTGATACCCTAAGTGCCGTATAGGTACGGTCACTGTACGAGTACTCGTACTGCATCATCATACAGGTAGCCTCGGGATCGAATCCCCCAATCGAATAACGCTATGCCTGTATGGTATAGTACAGCACTCGCACGGTACGAGTATCTTATCGGTGGTACGGTAGGTATCTCTGACAGCCGGAATGACACTCGCATGATTGAGTGAATTTTCACCACGCCCGCACCAAAAAGTCAACTCGCAGAACACTCGCCACGAGGGAGGTGGGACGGGCTCTGCTGGTATCGCACAGCAGATAAAAGAAGGATGGCGAAAACCGTAACCTCGGGGCCGTCGACATACCGGTACTGTAAGTTGTGGGTTGCGTGAGATCGCTTTGGGGGTGTAAGGTACAAGTGCTGTACTCGTACTGTAGAAGCGAGGTGGTACAGGATAGATCTTGTTTTTTTTCTTTTTCCTTTCCCTTTCCCTTTCCCTTTCCCTTTCCCTTTCCCTCTCCACTCTTTTCCTTTCCTCTACTTCCCCCCTCCCACTTTTTCTTTCCTTCCGCCAAGGGAAGACGTTTCGGATACTGTGCGCTTAGCGGTAAACGCTTTCGGATACCATCGGAAGAGTGAAACCTTTGCGCTGGATCACCTCGTCTTTAGCCCATAATAAAGCTGTGAAGAAAAGTTCTAAAAAAAAAAAAAAATCAAGCGAAAGGAGGGGAAATGGAGAAAGCATTTTCCGTGTGTTGGTCTGCTCTCGTTTAAAAGTATGATAATATGTTATGGGTGGTTTGTTGTGCCAAGAATCCCCAAGAGTTTGCGAGACAAACTCCACCCTGCACGCACTCAGTTCATCTTGAAGCATACCGACATTCCTCTATTTTTTTTTCCCAATTTCCCCCGTATGATACTGTTTGAGGGATAGAAAAGAAAAGAAAAGAAAAGATGGGTGAAAGTGTGTAAATATTTTTGTTGCAAAAACTTTCACTTTTTCAATGGTGTACGAGTAGGGTACTGTACAGTACCGGTACTGGTATCATACTCGAGGAATATTTTTCTGATCGAGGGTCTCCGAGAGGGCTTGCCGCCGAGCGCATTGTAGCGGACGGTACGCTGCCCGTACATACAGGAACGACGAGCACAAGTGAACACTGGGCTGTGAGACCGGAAGTTAGAGCGGGTGAGATGTCGGCTGGGGAGAAGGATGTTCACAGGGGAGAAGAGGAATGTGATTTGTGTTAACTTACGGTATGTGAGCACCCGAGCCATTCGTTAACGGGATTTACCGCCATGCTTTTCTTTTCTTTTTCTCTTCTTCTTTTGCTTTTCCAGAAGGAAATGGGGTGTTATGCTGCTGTGCTCTTGTTTCCCGTTCATCTTTGTTTCCGGAAGAGGCTGCTCGAATACAGTGCGGAAGGCCTTTCTATGGGAGATTGAATTGTGTTGTGTTGGTCTATGATACCGGTACTCGAGTACACGTACTGTACTGTACATGGTATGATATGATGCTCTAGTAACTGGTCGTAGAATTCTCAGACATCGAGTGCTGGGAAGTGGAGAAGGGGGGCTTGTAGAGGGGGCTGAATAGCTGGTGCCAAGCGCCAAGTAAACCATAAATTAACCTTATCGCATCCCGATCGGGAAAGGTGAAATTTTGTGGTTGTGAGAGGACCTGGAACCTCGACCCCTTTTTTGGATAACATCATTTTTTTCCCTCTCCATCCCTGCTCCGCTCCTGCAGTGCTTGTGTCTTGCCTATGGTGATGATGGATGGGTGGGTGTACTGTAGCCTTTCGACCCTCTTTCTTTACTCCAGTAGAGTGCACTTTTGCTGCTGCGGAAACGGAGCATCGGGATGCTTCCTGTAATTCACTCGGTAACTCCACCATGCCAGATGGTGGAGAAATAACTTGACTCGAGAATTGCCCTTACCTAAACAACGTCAGTAGTCCGTCTATCCGTCGTCAGTTCGCTCGGTCGCCATCTGCTCCAGTTGGGCCAGTCAGCAGCACACCGACGACAGAACTCGAACTGAGCGCAGCTCTCTCTTCCTATGCCCAGAAAAAGTGCTCTGGTTCTTTCTTTTCCACCCCGCTGCGTGTGGCCGAATCCTTCTCCCTCTCTCCCTCTCTACTCCCTCTCACACTCTCACACTCTCACACTCTCACTCACACGGGAAAACACTCCTTCTCTCTCTCCCTCCATTTCTATCTCCCCACCCTCCCTTCCCCATTCTTTCCTCCTTTCTTTCTTCATCCCCCCCTGCGCAACCGTCAACCACACCACACCTCGCCCCTCCCCGGCTGCCTGTGGCTTTCATAGTTTTTTTTTTAACTCACCACCTCCCTCTGCAACCCTGTTCCTCCATTGAGAGGGGTTCTTTCGACGGCTTAGTGCTTTTTTTTCCCTGCTCGAATAACTAGCTTCCGCCGTACTTGTATGTAAGCTGAGGCTCTCCCCCTTCTGCTCCGTTCCATTTTTTTTCCCCCCTCCCTTCCTTCCTCCCTTCCTCCCTTCCTACTGCTCGCGTGTTGATCGGTGAGACTTTTTTCCTCCCCTCCCCTACCGGTATTCGTTTCGGGCTCTCGTGCTCTGGACGCGTGGAAATAAAGCATTGAGCTGGTGTTGACGGAAAGCTAACCGCTCAATGCCTGCAGCTCGAAGCTTACGACTTCGCACTTTAAAAGTCCTGGCATCCCCCATTCCCCCTGCGCATCTCTAAGCCAGCGTAACTCATCGCCAATCGAAATTCCGTCCTTTTCGACTCGGCAAAGGAATAAACGCCAATGGTTGAGCCTCAATCAAACAATCCCTACAGAAGGAGTATGTCTCCACAACCTCCTGCCCCCCCAGCCCCTGCGGCTCTACCAGAATCGACAAACTCACCGGCTCATCCGGCTCCTCTGCAGAAGTCTTACTCGGCCACTACCACCATTGCCGAGGAACCCGAACTGGAAGATGCTGAAGGTCAAGCCCGTGCTCCCGCGTTTCCCGCCGTTAACGTGGATCCCGGCGCTTCCCCTGTATCCGTTCCTCACGGACCCAAGTCGGTGGATAAATCGACATCTGACTCCATTGTTATTACCATTCACCCGACCTCTTCGACGTGCACGGTTCAGAATCCTCCTGAATACCCCATGTCTCGACCTTCTATGTCTACACATCCCCATCCGAGACTTTCCCTGTCATGTGAAGAGGGGAAGCCGTGCAATGCGTGGCCCGCGAGGAGGTTCCTACAGAAGCAAGTCATGAGGAACAAGACCAAATGGATCATCATCAAGGTTGTTTGCGCCGTTCTATTTGTGGTTGGGGCTGTAGCTGTCGGGTTGGGGATTAGCCACGCTACAAAGAGCAGAATCGACAGGTCTAGTTAAGTTCAAGAGGTCATGTTTCGGTGGATGATATGTCTATAGTTGGGAATGCAAATGCAAGGGAGAAGAGGGAGCTCCCTTCGTGGGTATTGTTGATACTCTGGCATTATCTAGGCGGTCGGTTCTCCGTCTCGTCTCGGTCTTTCTTTTCTCTCTCTCTTTAACTCGTCACGGTCCTATTCTATTGTATATTTTTTAGCCTTTCTTGATTGTGCGGTTTTCCCCTCCCCGTTCGTCCTTTCTCCTTGGTGTCAGTGCCGGAGGAGTTGATCCATTTTACACCCTTTTTCTAGTTTCCTCTTGTTGGAGTTTTTTCTTTTCTTTTCTTTTTTTTTTAATTTGAGAGAACTCGAGGTGAGGTGAACGCGAAAAGGAAAGTAGGGAAAGGCTTGTGCTTCATATTCGGTATTGTTTTTCTCTCTTTCATTATTGCAAAGCGATTTAGATTTACCCAAATCGCATGGATGGGCGTTTATTTATGTTTTTATGTTTTTTTATTTTATCTTATTTTACTTTCCCCTCTTTCCCCGTCACCTACCCAAGCTCTATCACGTCCCATCAAAAACGTCATTCTCATGGGTTTTCTCTCTTTTTTTCCACCTTTCCTTCACTCGTTAATCCGGCAATGGGGGTGGCTAGGCGTTGATTTTTTATCCCTTTTTTTTCTTTTCTTTTCCGTCAACCCTTTGGTGGATTGAGAAGTGATTAGGATGGTATAGAAGTATCATATCGGCAGGAGGGTAATTTACGTACGACATTTGGAGAGTGATAAGTCGAACGGCTAGGTTTGTGATCCGACTCCTTGGGACGTAGACGAGGGTACTCTCGTAGTATGACGGGACAGCGCGAATTTCTGTCGTCATGGTGAGCCTGATATTGTATCATACCATGGGATTGGCGGGTGGCTGGGTTCGCGGAGCTAGGTGGGAATTCGAGTGAGGGGTTGTGATGGGCGAGGTTCTGTTGGCAGGAGGCATAGTCTACTTGAGCAAGGTGGATGTATAGTATCATGAGTTCGGGAAGTAGTCACACTGTGTCACTCGTTACGAGAGTGAATAGTAATCAGTTATTCGGGTTAACTTAAATGGTTTGCATGGGTCGAGCTCCGTGAATGGGCGTGATAACCACAATAACCATTCGCCCCCTCGCAAGGGAAGAACAAGAACGGGAGGATGTATCATAATTCTCCCCCCCCCTTCCACATCTGAAAAACGGTATGATATCATACCAACTAAAAAATAAATCGTTTGCACTGCACCCGTCCTGGCTCACCCAGATCGGTTCTGGCACTGGCGCGATACTGTACAGTACCACTACGACCGCGAGGGAATTGCAACAATCACACCCCGGAGATGAGGAGTGTTGTGCGGATCATCATACCAAACCCTCACTCACTCCTCTTCTATACGAACCAGCCGGTTTTTCCGAAACCCGTCCAGCGGGGCTGCGAAGCGCTCGCGTGGATTGGGCGGGGTGCCTGCTTAGCGTACCCGGACGGGTTGTGTGGTATTGGCAATGCCCAATTCGTAGGCTCTATCCACCATCACCCCCCCCCCCCCCCCCGCATATACTTGTAGGTTTTGTGGAGGTTTTCGGGAAGGGGGTTATTTCCTGTCGTTTGGTGGAAATTCTTATTTGTGGTGGCGATTCGTTGGGTGGGGCGAAATTCGGGGAGATCTTGGGGTTGGGTTGGTCTGCACGAGATCCCTGGATGGATGGGTGGATAGAGGGTAAGTTATCGTACTTGCGGTGAAGTGCTGTGTTGAGCGCACATTAGAGAGTGGGAGATCCCACCCGGGCGGTATCGTGATCTGGGCCATCGCGGAATGGGGAGTCCGGGTTCGAGAGAATCCGGGGGGAGGTGGGATAATTTGGAACGGTGATGGTCGCCGTTATCATTATCGTATGATATGTCCTTGGGCCGTGTCGAGCGGTACCTGAAACCGGAAGAGAATGCGGTGCGTGTTTGTACAGCACCCTGTCGGTGGAATTGTATCACAACTACGCCCTGGGACAAAATGGGCCGTGGGAACTACGCTGTTTTTTCTCGACTCACCTGGTTTCATCGATAACCTTGCTGTGGCTCCCGGCGTATATATAAGGTCCCGAATTTGAGTGATAGGTAGAGATTTAGGAGATTTTTAATAGAACCAGGTTGTGCTGTACTTGGGTAATTGTAGTAGATACCCCCCCCCCTAAGCTCTTGTACTTTCCAACCGATATCCCACATGGCGTATTGGCCCACCTTTACGTTTACGCCCTTGGGGTTGGATGGTATATTGTTAAGGTCCATGGGGTCACCAACGTGCTACCGCGCCCGCCGGTTATCTAGTACCGGCGCACCTAAACTCCGTACTATATATCGTCCTGAGATACGGTAGCCCACCCCATCCCGACCCAACCAAAAAAGAAAAAAGGAGGCAAGCCGACTGCGAGCCCTGTTCACACCCCTCTGCGACACAGTGACTATTCGCACTCAAGTCCGCGTTATCGATTCCAGCACTGGTGATTATGGGGACCAAAGGGAGGTGCTTGTTAAAGGAGAATACGTCCTCGCGGCGTCGGCGATGAACAAAAGGAGAATTTGTGATGCACTTTTTTACTCCTCTTCGATGGAGCTGTTTCAGCCGTTTTCTTCTCTGCTTGCGTTTTTTTTCCTGTGAATGACATATAGCTCGCCGGGGTGGTTTGCTCCAAGGTCCGGCAACCCGGGTTGACATCCCCTCATCACAGTAGCAGTTTCACTATTCCCTCGTGTCCACTCTTAGCGGCCCACAAGAGTGGTGTCTCGCTGTAAGAGGTGTCTGTGAGGTTGGGATTGACATCTCCTTCTAGTAGTAGTTTTACTACTTCTTCATGCCCACATCTCGCCGCCCATATGAGTGGTGTTAGACCCGCGCCATCTCTCTGGTTGACATTCCACCTTTTCAACCTCGTTAAAGCTAACACAAGTTTGGCGATGCCGAAGGACGACACAGTGCAATGCGGAAAACTTCACGTCTCAGATAGCATCACGGGGAGCGATTTCTCCGAAATGTAGCCTAGAGGGTATGTGGTGATTGTAATGGTGAAGATGCTCGAGAGCGAGTGATTTTGCGCGATTCGAGAGCTCTACTTTAGGGTGGTGCCCCAATATAAAGATGAATATTCGAGAAAGGGTGTGCTTTGGAGGTCGTAGGAGGAATTAGCTAGGGTATCCTTGATATGCTGGAAATTGAGATAGGTTAGGCACGTTTCCGCCACCGTCGAGTGAGCTTTACCAAGAAAGTTGGGGTGAGTACGAATATACTCCTGGGGGGGGTGGAATAGATCAAGCGGAAAGTTGAGGCCTTCTTATCTACGACGGGAAGTCCCTGGCAACAGCCTAACAATGTCCGTATCGAAGGCACGTTGTCGGCATTGAAGTTGGGTGATCCCACCTCGATCGCGGGGGCGTGACACAACTCTTCCGCCAGTAATGGGCGCTCCGAATGAGAGACCCATATTAGAGTGGCAATCCCAAATTTTGCTTTCTCCCCACCCTATGCCTCTGTGCGTTCCAGCGTCGCACGGTAGGCGTCGCACGGTAGACGTCCCCCAACCCAAGGCCATCCGTAATTTCTCTCGGTTTCTTCTTGTAGGGTTGCCTCAAAGTTCAAGGAAGCAAGCAAGAATCTAGACACATATCTATTAGGGGAAACTTGGCTTAGGTTTCCTGTGTCTTTTATCTTACATAAATTTCCGATACAGTTTCGGGAATACTCTCTGCAATGGCTGCCTCTAGGCTACTGTCCATCGCGTTAGGAATTGTCTCCTCATCCAGTTTTTCCCGGAGATATCTTGCGATATCGTCTCTGCTGGTACTTATGGACACAATCCCCACTTTTCCGGCGAGACGTTTTTCCACCTCACCCCGGATATGGGGCCTCCCAGTTAGGAAGATTCGAGTGGTTGGTGACTTCTGGAGAATCTCCTCGAGTGAGCCAAGGACCTTGAATTGATGTTGTTCCAGACATTCATCGAGAGCATCAATACATATAAATTTTTGCTGGAAAGACGCAAGGCACCGAGCATATTGGTAGGCGTCTGTTCCTTCCGGGCGGCAAAGTCGAAATAGAAGCCGGAAACGGTTACATTTTGTCCTGCGGCCTGATCACACAAAGTGTCAATCGCCAGTGAACTACTAGCATTGTGGCTTGTCAGCACTGCACTTGCTTCTTCTCATCCCCTTCCTCGGAGATCATGACTCTTACGTGAGATATAGTAGATCTTGCCGACCCCCGGGTCGCCGTTGTAAAAGAGGGTGGAATTATCAGGCTCATCCTCCCCACTACCATCAAACCAGTGTCTAGATTCTTCTGTTCCCAGAAGCCAGTCCCCAACATCATCGAACCGGCGGTCTCGAACGTCCTGATGGCGTATCCGAGGCTCTAGTGAAGATAGCCAAGCCAGAATTTCAGACCTCTAATCAGCAACAATCAGGCTTGACACGTTAACAGTGGTGCTGTTATTGAAACTGTTCGAGTTCGCACCGAAGCATTGAGACATCCCTTTTTGATCCTTTGGATCTTCAAGAGAATGGGCTATTGAGGATGGTCGGTTGATGAAGTTTCCGGGGGCCAAAGAAAAGCGGGGTCGTCCTGATCGCGCAGCCTTGTAGAAAACACTTGGCCCTATCAACCCACCCAAAATCTGCAAAATTGATACCCGTAGGCTAGAATCGACCGGCAGCGCATAACGTTGTACCCTATTTCTCAACAATTAGGAATTGGAAAAAGAGTCATCTAACAAATGCATCCGCGGGTATTATACCTAATTCTGTGGGGATAGTCTTGACCCACTCCTTCAGCCAGGTCACTCAAGTTCCGATTACCGGTACTCTAAGGACCGCCGAGTGCTGTACCGTACCGTACAGTACCAGTACTATGCTCGGGTACCTGTGGATACACTGGGGATAAAAAGGAGCAACGAAAAATGGAGCGTTTGGTGGAGATCAACGAAAAACTTTACTGGTACAAGTATCATAGGAGGGGGAAGGTTTACTCCCGACCAAATTCTTCGCCGTTGCGTATTTTTCGGTACGCCTTCAGAATAGTACAGTACGTTACCGCACTTTCACTCTAAGTTTATTTGTATGGCACAGTGGGTACTCGTAATGTAAATGGATGGGATTCCTTGGGTGTTAAATTCCAAATATCCAGATCCTAGTAGACGTGGTATTTTCACTCGTGTGAATTTGGCCGATGATTTTTTTTTTTTTTAAAAAAAAAAAAATTTAGGGAGGCGATAGCTACTCGGCAGCAGCCTTTTATTGTGGCGGAGAACTGTTATCCAATGGAGGTTTTTTGCGCCACGCA